TGATCCCTTCGACACCTCGTGATTGCATAGGCTGGTGTGCTGCTTCCATGTGGGCTTTATTGCTTCTGAGCTTGATGGCTGCTTGATTACCTCCCAGCCTTTAAGACCCCAGACGCTATACTTTATGGGAGCACACTGCCTCATCTTTCGCCCTTGGAGTGGCTGGTGAATTTGAAGTGCTGACCTTGCTGTTATCAGCCCAATCTGTAAAACACCACACTGCATGCTCCATGTCTCTCCTCTGTGCTGTTTCTCTTTTTTCTTCTTCCTGCTTCTGTTTCAAAAACTATGTAGTTGGCCGCTTAGATACACAAAGTTCTTGTCAATACCAAATCATGGCATTCCCACCAGGGCCATGAGTTGACTAAAACTTTCTTGGTCGGCCACAGGCACTTTATTTGAATAATAGGCTACAATTCCCCTCATTTGAAATATCTGTTGACCAGTTCCTGAAAGGTGCAGGCCAGAATAGGCTGCAGATGCAGACCATACAGTATCATAACCAAGTTGTTTACAGCTTACCCAGAAAATGGCAATCATCTGGTCAAAAGTAATAAGCCCTCGGAGGTAGAAAGATAAGGCAAAGGTAATTCCTTGGAGCTTAGAATAAGATTCTCTCCCTATCCTTTCCAAAGAATCAAGGTAAGAGGACACATTACTTAACTCATTTCACCACCAGGAATTTGTGTTGTCAGTAGAATTATTTGATTTTACATTGTACCTCAAAGTTGCTGAGTTTGGGGCTTCGACAAGGTATTCATAAATTTAAATATCTGGCTTCCTGGTGTACTCTGGAAAAAAAATAGTGAATCCTTAGTATTTCCGTGGAAGACTGTGGTGTTAAATGTCATTTCATATCAAAAGATGATTCTACCTGTTCGTGTAATTACTGTCTAAGCACCTGTGCCTGCTGTCAAAATAAAGCTCCTTTCTAAGCTTGAGATCAAGCCTTAGTATCAAGCCTCTTCTCTCTTCAGCGGTGGTGGCCACCAGAGGGAGCCTGCTTTTCCTAGAACAGTAGTAAAGGATGATGTTGACAATGACTGTGAAGATAAAGGTAGCAGATATCATTTTTAAAATTTTGTGTCAGTTACTGTGTTAAAAGCCTTACATAATTTTTTTTAAAACATTTTATTAGGGGCTCATACAACTGTTATCCCAATCTATACACACATCAATTGTGCAAAGCGCATTTGTACATCGTTTCTCAAAACATTTTCTCTCCATTTAAAGCCCCGACATTAGGTCCTCATTTTTCCCCTCCCTCCC